AAACCAAGATAAGCATCCTGCTTGCCGATCTAATGGCCCAGATGAGCATCCTGGCTTCTTTTATGAGCCCAAGTTATTTATGGTAAAGTTAGGTTTTACAGGGGATCGTTAAATAACATGTTCGTGCAGTTTAGTAACATTTGGGGTGAATCATGGACGATTGATGGAGGCGGGCTGCTTTTCCTTTGTTCGAGTTGCAGGGTGGAAAGCAGAGCATTATCCCAACACCCCCTACAGAACTGTTTAAGAAGGTGCTTATCTACTAATAATGGTGCAACCCCACCCCTTTTTACCGCCAGGCTTATTGCTACCTGCAGTCGATGAAGGTAGGTTGACGGCCTCTCACCCGGGTCCTGGAGGGTATTCAAGAACTGGGCAAAGAGTTCCTCCCCATCTTCCACGGTGCCAAAAGCTGAATCAAGCAGCTGCAGGTAGGTTGAGGGGGACGAATCGGGCCGTAGCCCCTTAACTACGTCAGCTGCAGGTGCGAGTAAGCTCTCAAGGATCTTCCTTGATGTTTGGAGAGGGGACATGTTAGGGTCATTCAGGAGTAGTTCGATATGTGAGCGCCAAGTGTAATCTGCTTCATTACTGGGTCTGGGAGCTTTTCCGGAGAAGGAGCGGAGTCGTACCTGAGACGGCAAGTGTGGGACAACATCTTCTCTCCTCACAATATGCTCAACCACGACCTTCTGTACTTCTTGGGGATTCATGCTACTCACTGAAAGCGAAGGAGCTCTCCCTTCATTAAAGATCGGAACTGAGCTGGCGACATTAGGACCAATGTTTCCCTGAAGAGCATCTGAGAGTGAACCGGGGGCAACAATCTGCGGGGTCCCAATAGTGAGCCCAGAATGCATGGGAGAACCCTCTTCAATCACAGGGCTCATAGCTTCAATATCCTCACTAATCTGGGACATCATTCCCTTCAGTACCTGCTCATACTCTATTCCGCTTAGCCTAGCTAAGGTCTTAAGCTCAGTTAGGTAGTTCTTGGTAATGTTAGCGCCAACTTCGGCTTGGTACACACTACATAGTGTCCTAACAGTATATACAATACATGGGTCATCCTGCACTGTGTACCTATATGGCAGGATCGCCCTCAGATCTTCTACTGCTGTGCCGTACGAGTACTCAACGATCAGGTTTTGGTGAAATTCTGACGTTTCTTCGTCAACAGAAAAGGTATTCTTAATAGAACCATACTTCTTAAGGAAGTCAATGATCTGTCCATCCTGACCTACTACTTGGGTGGCCCCACTAATAATGACAGCATTTGGGATTTTAACACCACACCTCTGTACAAAATCCATTATACATGTGATTCCAGCACTGATATTCACCTAACTGGCTCCTGGCTGGCTCGCCAATTCTGTAACCCCTTTCACCTTCACAGCGTGATAGTGGAGTACAGGTAGGTGATAATCAACGTTGACAGTTGGGCCAATGATCAGAAGACACTACGTTCGTTAAGAGCCAGTGCTGTGGATATCAATGATGAAACACACAGACCAATTGAGTTTTGGTTTTTTTTGTTTATAACTATTATTACAGGTTGATGACATTCAAACAATAGTTGTCAGGAAACAATTAGGAAAAGGAAACAATAGTTAAATGATAAAGCCGGCAAAATAAAACCTTTCTACTCCCCAAATTAGTCCTCCTCACGTTGGGGCCGTTCCTGACAAATGTCGGTCCTCCTCCTCACTTCACGATCCTTTGGGTTTGGT